GCTTGAGGAGGAGGAGATGACAGCAGCAACAACAGTAGCAGAGCCAGCAGTAGATGATCCTGCAGTCGCACCGGTGGTTGTAGTATATATGGACATTGACTTAGAGCGAGAGCTTCCAGCAGAGGAGTTACCACATCACTCTCCGACAGGGTCGCCAGTTCATTCTCCGAAGCAGGCTCAGGATGTACCACAGTTTCATGATCCAGTCGTCCCTGAGGCTCTAGATCAGACACCTGGCCTAGGAGAACGTATCCAGACCTTGGAGGACGCTGTTGTCTCTCTTCGGTCAGATGTGACATCTCTTAGCACAGATGTGACTATACTCCGCTCCGATGTCTTAGCTGCGTTGCAGGGCATATCCAGAGATATCAGGGGATCACGCCCCACTCGCCCTACTTCATCTGCCTGATCTCTATTCCTCTTTTTCATTATTCCATTATATCTGTCACTGCAACAAACGGGGCCTTTTGTGACCAAATTATTTGCGACCAAACTGAAAAAGTCGCAAATACTATGTTATTTGCGACCAAAATGAGTTAGTCGTAAAAGTTAACATATTAGCGACTAAAGTGAATTTTGGTAGCAATTGATAAGCACATTAACGACTAAAATAAATTATGGTCGCAAAATAATTGGTTTTTAACGACCAAACTTTATGGTTGCAAAATGATCCAAGTTTGATCGCAATTGGTCAAAGTATTAACGACCAAATTAAATTATGGTCGCGAAAGAATTGGTCTTTTACGACCAAATTTTATGGTTGCAAAATGATCAAAGTTTTGGCCACAATTGGTCAAAGTATTAACTACCAAGATATATTATGGTCGCGAAAGGATTGATCTTTTACAACCAAATTTTATGGTTGTAAAATGATCAAAAATTGGTCGCAATTGATGAAAGTATTAACGACCAAAATAAAATATGGTCACGAAAGAATTAGTCTTTTATGACCAAATTTTATGGTTGCAAAATTATCAAATTTTGGTCGCAATTGGTCAAAGTATTAACGACCAAAATATATTATGGTCACGAAAGAATTGATCTTTTACGACAAAATTTTATGGTTGCAAAATGATCAAAGTTTGGTCGCAATTGGTGAAAGTATTAACGACCAAAATATATTATGGTCGCAAAAGGATTGACCTTTTACGACCAAATTTTATGATTGCAAAATGATCAAAGTTTGGTCGCAATTGGTCAAAGTATTAACGACCAAAATAAATTATGGTCGCGAAAGGATTGGTATTTTATGACCAAATTTTATGATTGCAAAATGATCAAATTTTGGTCGCAATTAGACAAGGTATTAACAACCAAAATAACTTATGGTCGCAAAATGACAAATTTTGTTAAGAATACAAGATGACTTCTAAATTTTTTGTAAAATAATATGTCGACTAATTAATGACTTGGCAAAAATGTCATTAATTGCAAGATAGACAAATTAGTCATTTATTGTTTCGAGCTTAATTAATTTGTAAAAATATCAATATAAGAAAAATATAAAGAAAAGTATGAATATATAATTACTAAGTGTTTTATTAATTCTCAATCTAAAATGACCTGTACCTTAAATATTTTAATAAATAACTATTGGTAGTTAATAAAAATATAAAAAAAAAAACATATTATGGAGTATATTTTTAAGAGAATTGACTAAAGTTTAGATATTGAAAATTTTAAGAGCGATATCAATATCGCAAACACTATTATTTTATTTTCATTAAATATATTATTGTATAATTAGATTTTATTTTATTAAAAAGCATTTAGATATTGTGATAGAGTTTTATAGGAAATAAAATAGCTAATTTGTGGTAGATTTTATAGAAATTATTTTATTTTTATATCAATTAAAAAATATTTTTATATTAATAATTCTTGTCGAATTAGATTTTCTTTTATTAAAAAACTCATACTAAATAGATAAATAGGTAATTTGTGTTAGAGTTTTATAGAAATTCTTTAAAAAAACTTTTTTTATATCAATTAATAACTATTTTTAATCATTCTTGTCTAATTAGATTTCCTTTTATTAAAAAACTCATAAAAAATAGATAAATAGGTAATTTATATTAATTAATAAATACTTTTTATATTAATAAATAAATACTGAAATACTGAAACACTGACACTCTTTATACTTTTAATAGTTTTTGTATTTTATTTATATGTATTATTATATATATTATATATTTTCTTTAAATATATATTTCTCTAATGTGATAGAGTTATATCATTGTCTAATTAGATTTTCTTTTATTAAATAACTCATAATAAATAGATAAATACATGATATATATAATAGAGTTTTAAAGAAAATAAAATAGGTAATTTGTGACAGAGTTTTATAGAAATTATTTTTAAAGAATTTTTATAAAACTGTAACACAAATTACCTATTTATCTATTTATTATAAGTTTTTTAATTAAAGAAAAGCTAATTATACAAGAATTATTAATATAAAAAATATTTATTAATTGATATAAAAAATAAAATAATTTCTCTGCAATTATTAAGTGTTTTATTAATTCTCGATCTAAATTGACCTGTACCTTAAATATTTTGATAAATAACTATTTTTATTTAATAAAAATATAAAAATACATATTATGGAGTATATTTTTAAGAGAATTGACCAAGGTTTAAATATTGAAATTTTGAAGAGCGATATCAACATTGCAAACACTTTATTTCTCTATTCTCAGCCATATTCTTCAAAAACTCTTATTACAACCTTCAACTTCTTCTCTATTTAGGGTAAACTGATATCTCATTTTTGTTTGTAATTTCAGCGATATCTCATTTCTTAATTTATCTTGTTCTCAACCATAACGATATCTCTTCTCTTAAAAAATGTATTATATATTTAAAAGAATTAACTAATTAAGTAATAGAGTTTGTGTTACATACAACTTTTTGTTATTTATATATAAATAAATTCTGTGTATATTTAATAATAGTGTATATATAGAAAGAGATATAGAAATATTTAACGGAATTGGTAAGAGGAATGTTCATCCTTTTATATAATTTTTTTTAATGAAATATAAAATTTTTTTTGTAGGGTGGAGTTAATGTTTAACACAACTAGTGAGTGTAATGGTCAAATGCTCAAATCTAGGAACTCTATCATTGCCAATTCTTACTCATAATAAAATTGATTGACTTACTCATTGCCATTGAATTAGTGGGAGATGATTTTAAAAGAACTAGTTGGTTTGAAAAAAAAAAAAGAAAAAAAAGAAGAAAAAAAAGATAGTTCTAAGAGAGACCCAACACCACCATCTTTGACAAAAATTAAATAAAAAATTGTTTAAATTTGGGAGGTATCTCATTAACTTTGTCGGGTTAAAATTACCGCATGACAATTAATTAATATTGAAGCAGGTCTTAAAACATAAGAAGATAATTTTGAAATGATAAATATAAAAATAAAAATTTGCTATTTTATTCTATAAATAGATGAAATATTATTTTTATTAAATTAAGAAACAAATCTATTTTAGAACTTAAATGGAAAAAAAAATCACAATTCAGATTTATTAGTACTAAAGAATTTCTTTTCAACTTACTTATGTTTCAATGAACAAATAGAACTTATTTGGACATTTATTTTAAAAATATTTACCACAATCATTTTGTCATGGTTAATATCTGCTAAAAATTTCAGACTCTTTTTAAATATATCATTGTCTAATTAGATTTTCTTTTATTAAATAACTCATAATAAATAGATAAATACATGATATATGTGCTAGAGTTTTAAAGAAAATAAAATTGGTAATTTGTGGTAGAGTTTTATAAAAATTATTTTATTTTCTTTAAATATAATCATAATAAATAGATAAATACATGTTATATGTGATTGAGTTTTATAGAAAATAAAATAGCTGATTTGTCGAAGAATTTTATAAAAATTATTTTATTTTCTTTAAATATATTATTGTCTAACTAGATTTTATTTTATTAAAAAAGTCATAATAAATAGATATTATGATAGAGTTTTATAGAAAATAAAGTAGCTAATTTGTGGTAAATTTTATAAAAATTAATTTATTATATTATTAAAGTATAAAGATATCAGTATTTCATTATTTATTAATTAATATAAAAAATATTTATTAATTAAGTAAAGATTGAATCTTTGATTGAAATTACCTCAATCATAGTACCTATTATGTCACTCGACATTTTTAATGAATAAAGATTGAATTTTTGAAAGAAAATAAAAATTTTGAGTTAAACTTATTCGGGAACCTCCAACCACCACCACCCCCCTGTCCACCAACCACCATATTTTTTGATGCATATACCTTGGTAAGTCTATGCACCTAAAACCATATGTATAAATTTAATTTGAACAAGAACTAATATTCCACGCAAATACACTCGTGAATAAAAAAATATATATAAAAACATATGTATAATCACATATTGTTCTTCTTTGTTGAAAATTCTTTAATTTTTTTCAATTAATTTTTATCATGTTGATTTATTTTGAGGGCTGATTAATATTCCAAAAAATGCAAAACAGACAATTTAAAGGAATGGACAAATACCGCCTTAATTAGTTTAATGTGACCGCCAACTATAACTCCAAATATTAACGTTTTAAGGCACATGATACTTGCTGTGATTTCCACCACAGGACATAGTATTTTGTCATGGTTAGTATCTTATACACTTAAAATTTTCAGGCTGTTTTGAAATATTCATTTAATTTGGGAAATCTATTTTTTTAATTTTTTAGAAAAAAAAATAGTTAATTGCTGTTTATAATCTACGGATTTAGAATTTAAAACATAGTTATTAGATATATAAATTTATTTTATTAAAAAATCATTTAGCTATAAAAATAAATTCATCCTGAAAAATTCAGAATTTTTAATTTGCCACCCCCACCAAATTTTATACCGCGCAACTTAGAAATGAAATTTTAATTTGCGGCCCCCACCAAATGTTCAATGGCGCTCCTTAGAAATTCTAGGGCTATGACTTCATTTCCACTCAGACGGCTCCCCATTCTTTCCTTACTCTCGGTATCACTCTCAAAGCAGTTCTCTCACACACTCTCTCTCAAAAACCTAATCACCATTGTATCCATCAAGATGAACTGGGACTCAAAGGCGATTTTGGAAAGACCCAATCACCCCTGTCTCCGTTAAGGTCACCAGCGAGTCAAAGGCTATTCGTATGTTCTCTTTACCGGTTGCAAAGCGAAGCTTTCGACGGTGGGTATTCAACTACGTAAAGGGGTGATTCAAAGATGTTTTTGGAATTTCAAGCACAAGCAACTTCGTTCGATTTATGAATCCTCATTACAAGGTTGGTATTCCAGAATATTTTCTAAATTTTTTGGGTATATTATTTTTCCTAAATTCAATTTGAAAGCAAATGTAGAGAATGGTTGTGATTGCTGCTTTGGTCATTCTTGTCATGTGCTTGGATTGGGTATTTATGAATTCATTGGTCACTGATAACCAACAATAATCCCTTTGACCATAAAAAAATAAATTGGGGGTATGGGAATAAAAAAATAAAGAGGAAACATGTTAGATAATAGTTTCTACCATTCATCTGAACGCTTAAATGTTTTTTTCTGGGGACCAAAATAAATTTTTTAAATGAAATTGTTGTTTTGTACAATAATTTTTCAAAACAAAAACATTTATATTGAGACATCTTTATACAAACAAAGTCGAAACAGTACTAACATATAAAGATTTGAGGTTGGTCAAAGGGATAGGGACAGAAGGTGAACATATTTCCATAGAAACTGCTGAACTCATTGCTTTATAGTTTATAAGGCATATATAAAACAGTATGACACACACGCACACACATAGAAGAACTGTTTTTTCTTTGTATGGTTGTTGTTTATTAGACTAAATAGTAGTGCAATAACTCTTTTTTGTTTACAATGTTGAAGTCCCCCCATAACCTCTTCCATTCATCAAGGCGACATGTTTTTCCTTTGCTTATAGCATTGTACTATATTGTTCATATCTACATTTTTTTTTTTTTTTGTCATATTACCCAGGGAAAAAATACTAAGAATTTGTCTCCAATCCCTCTCTCCAAAATTAAATTTCACCAAATATTCCTTCCATCTGAGTGTATGACTATCTATTAGATCCACCACTCTAAAGACGGTAGTCACTGGGCCTCGTAGAAGAAATTTTTGGTTCGCTAATATCAGGATCTTACCAAATATAAATCTATCTACCATTGCCATCCCTCAAAAATAAATATTTTTTTCACAATTTCTCTCTACTATTACCAAAATTTTTTTTCACAAATGTTGGTTTGCTAATAAATAAGTATTTAGGAAGAGACTTGAATTTTTTGAGGGTGTATTTGATAAACCCAACTGTTTAGTTTTGTTTACGTGTGAAGTTTCTAAACTAGAAAATTGGAAGCAAATAATGGTCGCTCTAGTTTGTTAATTTAATGGATAATGTACTAACATGTATTTATGGAATATTTGAATTATATTATATTATAGTCATCAATTTACTTTGTATTCTGATGGAGCTCTTCTATGTAACACATTCCTATGATTCTTTGTGGTTTATTTGCTGAAGTATAAAGAATTGCTATTAGTAATAAGTTTTGAATTGAGTTAACCTAGGTGTAAACCAAACTTATCTTTTAAGTCAAAATACTTTTTGGATTCTCCTAATGTTACCTTTGTTACAAGATCTATGAACAGCTTATGGTACTAAGTGAACTGTTGTTTGTTGAATCCATAACCAAATGAATAATTAGCGGCTATATGTTGGATTTATTTGTGATTGTTTTCAATTTATGTTGTGAATTTTTTACTTAGACTTGTAAATAACAATTCATTGAATTGGGATGCAAAAAGGAAGTAGAACTAATATTGAAACTAAGTAAAAAAATTCTATAATCTATCTTCAGTATAGACTTGTCGAGCCGAAAACGTACAACAATTATTGTTGGAAAAGAAAAAGGGCACAAGTCAAGCTAATGAGTTCAAACATGCATATTAGTACTTGAGATCAGTAAATGTCTATTGGTTGCAGTGGCATCATGTGAAGTCAACAAATTAAGAAGCAAGCAGTCTATTTTCTTTGAATTCTCTCCAAATCATGATAGGCAATGGATATTTATGTTCTTAAATAAACAAAATTTAGTACAAATTATTGGTCCTCATAACCTTGCCTCCAAAACTTAAATAAAATGGTACTACATGTTAATTCACTCTGATTGCTGTTTAATTTTGTATATGCTAGTTATTGCATAAAGGCAAATAAATGAAATCCCATTAATTTTCTACTTTGATATATACCTGAGAGTAAATATTTGAATAGTGAGGAGGCCACATGGCCTATTAGAAAATATGAGATATATTTGCATGTATTAATGGAATTAAAGACTTGTTCATCTAGAAAAGTATTTATACACAGATACACCTTCTTATTCTTTTTATCATTTTGAAGGGGAGAAGATTCGAAGCAACTACACTCGATTCGTGATCCTGATGTGGCTTTTTGTGGTGTTGATCTTAACAAATAGCTACAATCTATCTTCGGTGGTGCAACAAATTTGGTCTTTTGTCACAAAAGACCGAATTTCTTGTAGTGTATTCTTTTAGTCACTTAAGACCGAATTTCTTATAGTGTATTCTTTTAGTCACTTAATTTGATTTAATATCTCAAATTAATAATCTTTTTTATTTTTATTTCTTCATACCCTTAAATGGGATTATTTTTTTTTATATAAAAAAGTTTAGTATTAGTTAAGTGATATGATCTGGGATGATTAAGAAATTCAAAGCCTAATTCAGATAGTAAGTTTGGTTCCTATTTTAGGTTGTCGTTTTTATGGGATTGGGCACTTGATTGGGTTTGTAATGCGGATAATTTATCAGGCATCTCTTTTTTGGTTATTGTTAATTTTTTGTTACCATTACTTTGTTGATCTGTGTGTGCATTGTCTTGTCTAAAGATGCAATTTGAGTTGAATTATATGTAATTTGAAACTAATTGTTCATGGAAAATTATGAGAATAGGAGAGGATTGCTTGATTATAGTTTCTAGTTCTCTACCTAATAGAAATTTCAAGTTAGTAAGCAGTGACAAGCTTATAAAAAAGTATGATGATCAATTTTGTTTCACAAAGTATATATTCATAACTGATGTTGATTTTTCAAAGCTTAGCTTGTTAGTGATAAATATTAATAGTAGTATTTTGTCTTTTCTATTTTGTACTTTTTCTTATCTTCTAGAAGATGAATTGGTATTCTTATTCTCTATTTATATTAATTTTTTTTTTTTGACTGTTCAATTTTACTTAATTTTTAGACTAATTAAAGTGATTCAAAAATGGGTTTAACCATCTCTTATTAGACAACTGTTAAATTATTTTCTGTGGGTACAAGTTGAATTTAAACAACCTTAGTTCACACTATATTTGAAATGTTTATACTTTTGGTTCGAATCCTGGTATAAAGATTACTATGATTATGCTAAATCAAAAGGGCTAGATGTAGGTGTATCAATATTTGACATTTTTACAAAATCAATAAAGGTTGCATTTTTTACCAAAAGTTTTATGAATCAATATTTGATATTTGCACTTTAAATCATTATAAAGATTATTATGTTACAATTTTACTTTAAATTAACATTACATTTTAATTATTAGGAAACGCTACCACTAGTATCCTACCAACTTCCTAGTGAAAAACTTTTTAAAAAATGTTGTAATTTATTTTTTTTATTCTGAATTTAGTTTGGTTCTTTATTTTACAAAAATAAATTTTCTACACTTATGTGTGACTGCAAATGACACACTAGGACACAGTCTGGTGGAATGGACCAAGTTATACTTTCTTGTTATGGGACAATAGTTTTTTTGCTTGCGTGTCTAATTAGGAATTTATTTTCCGCTATGATTGTATTGGCAAATTGAAAGTCAATAAAGTTGTAATTTTTATTCAATGTAGGATGATTAAAGTGTTGCCATCCTTTCATTCTTGATGATAAAATGACTTTAATTTTCTATATTATTTTATGAATCATCATATTCAATTTTAAGATATTGTATTTCTAATTGGGACACTCTTAGAAAAATTGTATTGGCCTGCTCATTATACGAATTATTTAGTGGTCATAACTTATCTTTAAATTTCTTGTTTCTTTTGATAGGTAATCTCTATCATACCTAAGAGAAATGTTGTTATAAAGACAAATTGTATCAAATAAATGGAATGCTGTGAAGAAAACCATTATTCTAGGAAGTTTACAAATGCTTAAAGTGAGAGTATGGAAAGTCGAAAAGAAAAGTTGTTAAGGCTTTGGAGCAATACGAGTAAACGACATAAATGTATAAAACTATCATGGACAAGCTTGACATAGCCTAATTCCCTGAGCAAAGCGATATCTTTAGCAGTTCGTTCATATTTTGTTTTCTTATGGACATGTTAATTCTTTTATAGTTTATTAGTTGGTTTTTAATGGACACATTATTGGTAGATGTAATGGAAATGCCATACATGGATGCATTTAATAATTTTTCTTTTTTCACGGACAAACCATACGGATATATGTATACGGTGTGTAATGGATGTATTTTATTTGAAATAATTAATTCAATTACTTTTTTAGTTTTTACTATATGTGATTGATGGTATTTAATTATTAGCGTATTTTAAATTAAAAAAATTGAAATGTTGATAGATTTATTAATTATATTACCTGTCCAAAATTTTTTTTTTTTAACAAAAGAATTGGATATTTGCGACCAAATTTTATGGCCACAAAAGGATTATCTATTTGTGACCAAATGCTATGGTCAGAAAAGGATATATTATTTGCGACTAAATTTAATAGTCGCAAAAGGGTGCCTCATCTGCGACCAAAAATAAGTGTCGCAAAAGGGTACCTCATTGTGACCAAATGCTATGGTCGGAAAAGGATATATTATTTGCGACTAAATTTAGTAGTCGCAAAAGGATACCACATCTGCGACCAATAATAAGGGTCGCAAAAGGGTACCTCATCTGCGACCAAAAATAATGGTCGCAAAAGAGTCCCTCATTTGCGACCAAAAATAATGGTCATAAAAGGATACCTCATCTGCGACCGATATAATGGTCGCAAAAGGTGATCTTATCTGCGACCAAATATAATGGTCGCAAAAGGGACTACTATTTGCGACCATATAATTTATCTTTAAAATTCATTTTGGTCGATAATATAATGGTCGCAAAAATGGGTTTATTAGCGACCAATTCATTTTTTGGTCGCTAAAAACCATCCGCGTCACTGGTATCGTCAGCCACGGGGTGACCAAAACATTTTGGTCGTTACAGGATATTTGCGACCAATTTTTGACCTTTTAAGACCAAAAATTTGGTCGCAAAAAGCCCAATTTGTTGTAGTGTGTGATACGTTACTGCTCTTTTGATACTATTGTGATATTTCTGCGGCCAGTCTGTCGGCCCCATTACTGTGATGTACCATATACTGTTTTTATTTTCTTATTTTATGCAAGATCTTTTGGATGTCATATTCTTCTATTGATATATCTGTCTGTGACTGACTCCATTATCAGGTGCATCCCAGTGACTTCAGTGAGAGAGTGCTGCCCGAATTTTTCAAGACTACCCTTATTCTTCTCTCATTATATCATTTATTATCCCATTTACACTTGCATGTCCACTGTGCACCATTATTGTCCCCTTTGTTATCTGATCAGCATTTCTCCCAGTGCCATCTTTTCAGGACTACAGTTAATCCTAAGTTTTTTTTAGGAAGAGGGGGGGGGGGGTTATACCACCCATTTTGGATACTTCTGTCCCGGTCATTCTTTGCCATAACTGCACTGGTATACTCTTTCCTTTGTTGTCTTTGCACATTGATGACACTATACTATTTAAGTTTGGGGGTAACGGGTGTTGTTACAATATTTGCTTTCAATTCAAAACTTTGAGCATGACTGTGTATTTGAGAGATTTTCTATGATTGGTCCATAATAGCAAATGATTTTGATATTTTGAGGATTATATTGCTTAGAATTTAAAAATTGCTTGACTTGAGAGTCCAATACTCCTTGTATGCCTTGTGGATGCCATTTAGAAGTAAATTTTTCGAAAGATTGATATCATGCTTGCATTTGTGGTCCACATCATTCTGATTTTGTGATTATTGTTGAGATTCACTCTAGGATTCTACACTAGCACAGGCGCATACTAGCATTTATTTGTGGGGTACATGCTTTGTTGATTATTGAATTGATTATATCCCAATTGGGCTAGTCGTGTATTGAAAACTTTTATTTTGACAAAAATAGATAACAATCCCTTTTCATTGAGTAGCCGGGATTCTAGCCTCATCAAGTACTGAATTTCTCGCGCCGAAAGGTGGAGGGCCCAAACTTCAGGTTAATAATTGAACTTAAAATAAAAAAAAAAAAAGAAAGTTGCAAAAGTAATAAAAAGTGAGACTTCTCCCAAAAGGTGAGAAGTAGGAAATGATTAGATGGAGGTTGTTTTGATTTGTAGCCTAATTGATTTGAGCTTGTAAGTCCTTAGGGGTGTTTGAACACCTAATGCCCTAAAGCCATTCGGTTTGGGAGTCATTGACCTAACGCTCGACTTCATGGGTTGTTAGAAAGCTTAATAGATCAACACATTGCACCATACTTCCATCTTTAATCCTTAGGGATAGATAAAAAATAAAAAATAAAAAAATTGAGTGAAAAGAATAAGCACACCTAGATCAATAAAGCTTTAATAAAAGGTCCACTCTTTGTCTTGATGATCGGTACTAGATTTGTGTGCTAATTTGAGGGTAAGGATGTGATCATTTCTTTAGTTGGCTAAGATATGAACATATTTAATGCCGGTTCACTCAAAAAGGATTCTAATGTTGTTTTGATTTGTATGATCATTTTCTTGATGTGTGGAGGACCATACTTGTTTGCTCAATATTGAGATTTTGGGAGATTACTTGGAAATTGTTGAAAATTTGCATACTTGAGATAGTTTTCTCCCAACGCTTGTTTGCAATATTGGTGTCTCTTTAGTGAGAATAAGCTTAATGTTTGTGGGTATCATTACTGGAAACCCTCACGAGACTTCACTCGTCTACTAGGGGTAACCTAAGGATTTATAAGGCTTGTTGCATATGCTAAATGCAATCGTGTTCCCTACGAAAGTGGCGTTATCCATTTATTGCTTTCTAGTTCATAGTTGTATAGTTGTTCATTTCATTCCTTTACTTTGTAGTTCATTGTTAGGTAATAGCAATATTTAAGTTTGGGGGTATGATGAGCGCTGAAAAGTGCGCATTTAAACCCCTTAAGCTTAGGTATTCTAGGACCTTTATCTATCTTACTTTCATGTTTTAGACTAATTCCGTGTTATTGTTCTTTTTAGGTGCTTATTCCAAAAATAAGTTAATTAAGCCAAATAAGAGCTTAAAAGAAGCTAACTCAACATGGATGAAAAAAATGAGTAAAGTGGAAGCAGATTGAAACAAAGTGTGGAAATTTAGTATGTTCGATCGATCTCAACATTTATTCGATCGATCGAAAGTTCATCAATTTTAATATTTCAAGATAGATTCAAGCCTTTGTCCTTATCCAAAAGAATCCAACAAGTTTGATCGATCCAACATTTCCCAGATCGATCGAAATGATTTGATCTTATCCACACCTACCACCCACCTACCACTTTTGTTTTTTCCCAAAAATATCCCAAAATATCTCAGAGATTTGTCTTTATTCAAAAAGGCGCCGCCAAGGATGATCGATTTCTGTAACATTCGATGGATCTCAGCCAAGTTCGATCGATCTCACCACAGTTCGATCGATCGAACCTCCTTAAGTCCGAAAAAAAATAGATTCTAGCTCATTAAAAGTTGGCTCATGGTGTAATCATCGGAGGGACCTTGGTGTACGAGCCC